GGAGGCTGCAGCCCTAGTGCTGCGTTCAACACGCACTGACAGGCTGATCCTAAATGACTGTATCTGATCCTCTCCTGACCTTGGCGAAGCCGTCAGCCTCTACAGCACCTTGCGGCAGCGAGTGCTGCGAGTTACTGATGCTCTGTGGGGAAGAGAGCCGTGCTTTGTTTCACACGTGCTCCCAGCCATGTCCTTGCATGTCCCCTTGCTCTAGCCCTATTCTCTTTCTGCACACCAGTCATTAGTGTATAGCCCTCATTCACACCCACACCCCCACATCATCTCCTCTGCAGGCTGAGAAGTCCCAGCCCAGTCTCTCCTCCTTGCCGGAAGGCATCTGTCCCCTGATTGCACGGCATGCACGCAGCCCCTCAATACCTCTGATCGCACTTAGAAAGGCCAAACAAAACAGCACCACACTTGCTTGCTCGTTGCTGGTCAGAAGACTACGCTCCATCCTATTCAACACAGATCTGCCCGTGATTGTAGACCCTCAAGCTTGATTACAGAAACTCATGTATCTGGGAACGAAGCCTACCAGCTGCAGTTCCCTGTCTGCTCAGCAGCCCGTTACACCGAATACATCATCCTTGCACTCCACTTGTTGCATTGGCTTCCCATTTACAAAAGAGGTCAAGCATACTATAAAGGGAACAGAAATCAAGTGCAGCGGCAGCAGTTGTCCGCTCTCAGATACTTTCTCTGCAGAACAGAGGAAAAGGAAAACCCTATTTGCACGCAGGAAACAGCCCAACGGAGCGAGGAGTGTAAAACAGACGGGAGCCTCCTGGCCATTGAGACCAGTCCCGCGTGCGTGCAGGCAGGGGTTTGTTCAGAGCATCTAGGGTCATAAGGACTTTCCTCCTCAACTAATTAAACCCATGCAGCTCAGCTGGAGAAGACATTCAGCAATGACAGAAGCCGGTCCTCACGATATAGAGACGTCCTGGGGATCTCTTCTTGGCCCTTTTTGTAAACTGGCCTTTAGCTTGCGATACCACGGAGAAAAACTGGTTCCAAAGGTCTCTGTAGATCAGCTGCGCCATGGATATGTCGTGGGTGGAAAGACGAGCCGGGAAGTGAACCCTTACTGGGAGGACTGGGACCCTCTGGTATAAATGTGCCACAGACCCCTAGCATAAGCTTTCAGTTATATCCCAGGGAATAGCAACACTACGGTGCTTGGGGGTCAGGCCTAGTGTCTCCAAAGTAGTCTGGACGTTTAACCTGGGACACAGAAGTACAGAAACGTGCAATTTCCCAGTGCAGAGGCGGCGTGACTAGCCCTGCTTTGCACCCTCCTGCTGCTAGTGAGCACGCGCCGACACCGACACCGACACCGCTGCAGTTCTGAGAAGACGGACTCCGAGTCATCACCTCTCAGAGCAAGACGAGCCGCCGGGGGCAGCTGTGCCTCCTCGTATTTCCCAACACCAGTTGGAAACTGCTGGCCCCAGGGTAGGGGAAGAAAGGTGAGCGCAGACAGCCTTCCACGAGGAGCGTCACAGGCAAGACACCTGCCAAGCTGTAAGACAGGGCGTGATAAATGTGTGGAAGGGATTATCTGAGGCAGCTGCCAGCAATAGCAGGGCACTGGTTTAATGAGCCAGGACATCCCTTTCAGTCCCGTGCGCCTATCCTATCTACACCCCTTTGCCTTCCCAAGGGCCGGGCTTACTGAGACGTGCCAGGTTTCCTTTTCCGGAGTCGCAAAGCTGCTCCGACCAAATCAGGTAAGACGGCAGCACAATCTTGAAGGCTAGTCTTAAATAACGCTAGGGATGCTATCACCCCCCCGACTCCACTCTGACTTAATCCTCTCACTTGATTCATCCTGCCACTTTCCCTTTTCCTCTGGTTTCCCTTCTGTCGAAGACGTCTGGCTCGCCAGTCAGGAGACACAACCTTTGCTGCGACCAGTTTGGCAAGTTAAACCCAGCACGGGCAGCCTGCTTCCAGGCAAAGGGATCTGCCTCCCAAAGGCTGAAAGGAAAATGAAGAGTAACTTAGCCAAAGCTTGTTCAGAGCCAACGTGGATAAAAGCCATGTCTAAAATGTCTAATTGGGCCGGTCACATGTCCCACGCCATGCCTGCAGGATGCCAGCAACTCTGCCGCACGTGTCCGAGAGGACGCACGCTCTGCCGTCGCTGGTACTCTTCTCTCTCCTCGCGTCTACTGCTCTTCACTTTAGGAAGAAACAGAATCGGATTTTAACTGCAAAACCTGAGCTCCTGTATAAAATGAACCCTTTCCTCTTATGAAACGATGGACAACCATCCACACCAGGGTTTAAGCAAAGTTTGCCCCCTGTAAAAAGACTAAGAAAAATGTAAATAAGGAAGTTTTGGTAAAGCCAAACTTTGCTTATCTGAGCCTTACGTGTGTAAACTAACTTGACGCTGCACAGGAACTGCGGGGCGAGGTGGTATCCTCGGTCCATCTAGCCCCGCGAGCTCCCAAGTGACCCAGCCGCTTCAGACAAGACTGCAACAACCGCGCATTTGGTGTTTTTCTAATCCTTAACTACCAGAGGCTGCTTTGGCCCCAGAAGCATGGGACTGTCGGGGACTTTCGGAGATCACGCAGCCTCTCCTGCCGCACCGCAGCGGGGTCAAGGATACTCGCACCGTTCCTGACACGACACGTGTCTGTCTAACCCGCCCCGAAAAACCCGCTGGCCAGACGCCAGCGCCTCCCTGGATGGGCTGCTCCAGTCCTCCACCACCTCGCGGTTAGAAAGCTTTCCCTAATATCTATCCCGACCCTTGGTTGCTGCAAGATAAGCTTATTTCTTCCTGTCCTGCCCTGGTGGCCCTGGAGAACCGATCGGTCTTCTTTATAACAACCTTTTGAATCAGGGGTGGGCAAAACGCGGCCCGCCAGGCCGCTCTATCTGGCCCGCGGGGCTCCTAAAAAATGTAGAAAATTAATATTTATCTGCCCCTGGCTGCCTGTCGTGCGGCCCTCGATGGCTTGTCAAAACTCAGTAAGCAGCTCTCTGCCCAAAATAATTGCCCGCCCCTGTTTTAAATATACCAACATAAACTATAATCTCTTCTAAATTCTGATTAGCCATTAACCATTATGACCTTGGAAATTCTTGTTTTCCATAAAAACAAGTCCAAACTCTTTTTCAACCTTGCTGTGGTTTTGGCCTCGATAACACCCCGTGGCAACGAGCTCCAGTTCACTCTCACGCTCGGTGGAAAGAGCTTTCCTTCCGTTGATTTTGATGTTCTCTTTTTTCTCTTATGTTTTGCTGCAGATCCCTTTGTTCTGGAGGTTTACGAGGGAGAAGAGAAGCCCGCGATCGTCCTTCCTTACAAGTTATTATTGCATGCATTTTTTCATGCTGTTTTCCTTGCGCTCGTCTCCCTCCCAGACAAGAGCGCCCTGACTTTTCAGCTCTCTTTGCAAGGGGGTCTTCACTGGGCAGCCGGCCGACAGTGGTCAGCTTTCGTCTACACGAGGTGAGCCTCGTGGTGACGTGCTGCCCACGTCCCTGCTTCTTAAGCAGCTCTTTGTCTAAGGCCTTTGAAGTGTCTAAATGAACTGTGCCGAAGACGTGACTTTTGACTAGGCATTGGATTAAAATGGGCCAACAGCAGTGGGACGGTTTCTACTACACTTTAGGCAGGCATCAGGGCTCAAAGCCAAGGGCCCTTCCTTCCCAGGCCAGTGGCTTGCTCACTGAGCCACGCTCTCCCTCCCTCCTCCTCCCGGCCCTTCGTGGCCTGCTTCAAGAGGAGGCTGGAGAGCACTTTGGGCAATGCCTAGCATGCTGGGGTTGGACTGGACAGCCTCTGGAGGCCCCTTCTGGCCCTTCTTCTCTAGGACTTCCATGATTACCCGTCTACTTTCATCTGAACTTCCTGAAGTTGTTCCAATTGATAAACATGCGTTCGCAACTGGGTGATGCAGCAGTGCGGTGGCAATGCTCTCTTGCAGAGCGAGATGCTGAGATGCTACGGGCTAAATCCTATTTCACCTTTCTGTGCCCAAGCAGCACTTCCACATCTGTATATTTTGGGGACATAACTAAGAGCGTCACATAAGTAAGATCGGCGAGTCTGTTTGCAGCGGCATAGCTCCGCCGGCCCGTGCGTCTCTTCTAAGCGTGTTCGGAAGGGTCCGCTGCGGGTGTGCGGGCCTGGGAGGGAACAGGGCCGCCCGGGCACGATGCACATCACGTTGTGCGAGTCCCTGAGACTCTAGGCAGAGAAAACGTGCGAGTGCTAGCTGCTAGACAGAGGAGAGGAGGACGGTGGCCCTCCCGCCCCTTGGCCTAACAGCCTCGTGCTCAGTGCACTTGACTGGGGACTGAGATGCAGACTCGAGCCCTCTGCCCCCCCAAAAACGGGTTGGAATCTGCATCCCAGCTGGCGCTGAGGTTTCCATTTTGAGACTTTAAAAAATATTTCTCTTTACTGGAGAAGGAGAGGCAGGGCAATGGTGTTTGCATTGCTACAGACCTCGAGCCACCTTGCACGGGGGTAGGGAAAACCAATACTGCCACGAGTGCGAGAGGATATCCATCCACACCTTGGGGCTGTTACAGGACAGAGGTGACATTCACACACCTGAACGGTGGGAGAGGAGTTTTACTTTATATAATTAGCCAACGGAAACAGCAACTGATTTCTATTCTCTCTGGAGCTCGTTGTTTTGTCTCCATCGCATTTCCGTCTACTGGTAGTTTTTGCTACTCTTGATGAAGTAGGGCTAATTTGTTTGCTCGCTGCTGTGGCAGTCTTTCCACGCTTCTCATAACTTCCACTATCTCACCCTTGTTGTTTTCCTTCCCTACGTCTCGAGCTGGTTGTCTCCATATTACTAGCCACGTTTCGATTTACATCAGCTGAGCAGAGAAAACACGACAGCCTGATTCAGTCTCGTACCACGTGAAGATGCCAAGTAAAGCTCTGAAAACGCTTGGGTATCTTAAGCAACGCGAAGGGAGATGGAGAAGTTCGAATGAGAGTCAGCTCATTTACTTACTGCATTTCCAGCTTCTGCAGCAAGCCTGGCGGCATATCTGGCAATCAGTCTGTGCTCCTCATCCAGTCTGCTCGGGCTGTCCAAGACACTGCCGAGGGAAAACAAAGCCGACACATCCCGATCAGCATGCACAGCTTCATTACCAGACATCACAGACAGCAGTGGACAGCAAGGGGAAAAGGAGTATTGTTAGGCAGAATCAGAGTCATTTGAAATGGAAAAGTTGGTAAGAAATCATGCAGACTTTTACCTTCTCCCCAACACAGGGCCAGGTCAAGATGCCCTGCGCCGCGGGGGAATGAATGTCTCCTAGGGCTTTGTCCAGTTTAGTCTTAAATGCTCCAAGTAAGGGCACCTTCCAGACTTTTAAAGCAAAACCTATATACAGAGGGTGTTAGCGAAACCTGTTCTGTTTTTCCTAAGGATGTTTGTTATAGGCCTCTCCAGTGTGTTCGAGCTAAAAAGGACGATAAAGCAGAACAGTGATGGTGGGAAAGCCACGTGCTTGTGGGACCTGCGACCGCCAGTGTCAGACTGAGCATGGTTTCCAAGAAGACCTGACCGAACCCCGCTGCCCTGACGTGAAGTGCTCGGACCGTAACTTCATGGTAAGCTCACTGTGTGCACGTGGCCTTGGGACGTGGTCCGCCCGCCCTGACTCTGGCAAGAGGTGGAGCGGGTCCTCGGAGGCCAGGTGGAGAGAGGGGCACCCCGCAGCGCGGAGTGACTGGGAGCGCAAGGGACACAGGGGCTCAAGGACCCCGGCTCTAGCAGTTCCTGGCCACAGAAATAGTATAATGAAATGGTAGAAGTTGGAGGTTTAAAGCTAAAGAAAAGAAATCACAAGGTGCTGGTGGAGGTCGGTCCTCGGGACTGACCGAGGGGTGTGGAGATCTTTCAGTCTGGTCAGCCTGTCGCATCCTAGCATGCAACAAGCTCTAAAAACCGTCACAAACACCTTTGAAATGTCCAAGCACCGGCAGACAGACTGCAAGCTTTGAGCAAAATGAATTTAAATGAGCCAAAGCAGAAAGGTCTGCTATCAGCTCCGACCAGGTGTTGCACAGGCTCCAGTGCAATGAACCAGCAGCAAAAAGCCATTTGAAAGAGCAGCTTCTCACGTCAGCGGCAAGCTGAAACGTTTGTCAGAGCCGCTGTTGTCACCAGTTGTAAATTATTTAAACAAGGAAAAAAGTAACAGGAGAAAATCAGTCTCAAGAGAAGTGAGACGGCTCCGTGTCACCACGCAGCGTTTTAAATGTGAGAAGCGCTTGGTTCCTGACATGGAGTCCACGCAGACGGCACTGGGCTGGGGAAGCACACAGTGATGGGCAGCAATCAAACCCAGGATCAAAATCCACTCCCTTCAATTGCAGCGAGAAAAAGAAACACCTGTCAGGTGCTCAGCAAGGCCCCCGGCAGACGCTCAATTAAAACTGATGGGCTCTGATGCACCATCCCCACGAGGCTGCTTCCCTCCACGCCGCAGGTGTGACGGTGGGATTGGGACTGAGCCCATCACGCCGTGTTGCTGGTGCAGGGGGAGCTCAGGCTCCTGATTTCGGGTCCCCTTGCACCGGCAAGTGGCAAGCGCCCGCGGCTCGGAGCCTGGGTCACGTGACGGGAGCCTGCAGCTGTGGGGAACGGCCGAGCCCTCGACTCCAGCTGTGCCCGAAGGCTGGGAGCCCCGCTCTGCCGCTATTCCCAGTCGCGGGGGGATATCAAAATCAAGGGCTCCAATGCACCGTGAGGCTGGGGTTGGCAACGGACCACCGCTCCCAGCTGCGGGAGCCCATCGGAGCCCTTGGCCTCAATGGGACCCTGGCCTCAGCCTCGGGACCATGCACTCGGGGGGGGGGCTGGATGCTCCAGCCAGTCCGGCCACACGTCCATGTATCAGCGTGACAGGCACGAGCCCCAAGGTTCTTGCACAAAAGACGTGTAATAACCGTCTGGCTTACTCCTCGTTCTACCGTGCCATTAATTGCATTAACATGTGGCTGGGTAACTACTAGAGATGTGATTAATCGTGTCCTTAGTGTAACGTGCCAGGAGTCCTACACTCCTGTTTCACCGTGCACAATCGCTTGCACTCATTTGACTGTAACTTCTTGGAGAAAATGCTCATTTTGAATGAAGAGCAAAGCTCCAACCAAACGCACAGTTTTTACTTTAAAATGTGGATTTCTTCAACCTGTAACTATAAACTCACTACCTTGGACGTCTCTGGACTGCGAGGGCCGGTCAAAGGCAGTATGTCAGAGGTTGTATTTTACGGGCCGAGGCAGCGTGAGTGAACTTAATGGGTAAAGCTGGGTGCAGGTCACGCTGGTTTAGATTTGCACCGTAATTTGGCTGCCTGTGTCTATAAACAGAATCATCTGAACAAAGGCAATGAATTAGACGTACCTGAAGGAGAAACCTGGAAAGTCACGTGAAGAACTAGGAAAGTGGTTTTAAAGAGATAAAGACAAACAGAAAAACAGGCCAGTGGACTAAGCCAATGTCCCCTCCCCGTTTTCCTCATTTCCTCTCACCCCGGTGGCAATGGATATTCAAATCGCACATTTTTCTGGACCGTGGCACATTTCTATTGTAGTTCGATCTTCCCTATTTTCATATCTGTTTGGGTTTCATCTGTAATTTAGGCCCGTCAGACGCCTGCGCCGACGAGCTGTAATTACAGCGTACTGGATCTCAGATCCTGAGCTGGATCTCCTCGTCCATCTTCGCTTTCTGAGAGGTGGCTACCGAGGTAAGGGAAGTGCTCGATTACCTCCAGGCTCTTTTCCTCGATGGTAATTTGGGGAGGGGGAGTCACATCCATGGCCTAGGGCAGGCTGACAGAGCACGTCAGGCTTCTCGATGTCGAGCGAGAGACAGGTCAAAAGTTTGGAAGGTTTCTCCAAAGAGATCCAGTGTGGTCCGGAGGTTTTCCTCGCTGTGCGCAAGGACGATGCAGCCGCTGGTATACTGAAGGTCAAGGATGGTTCTTTTGGGTACTTTGGTCTTCAAGTGAAACCACCCCAGATTGAAGAGCCCACCCGCTGTCTGCTATTCCATGTCAACTCCAGACGGAAGGAGTCCTTAACAAGACCCCAGATGAGCGTCAAAAAGAGGAGAACAGAGTTGGGGCAACGATGCGTCCTTGCTTGGCCCCAGTTCGGATGACAAACATCTGTCTCTGACCTGCTGCACAGGACGGTTGCAATCGTCTGGTTGTGAAGAAGCCGCAGGACCTTGATGTACTTTTCAGGACATCTAAATCTGGGCAGTACTTTTCACAAGGCTTCGCAATGGATGGAATCAAAGGCCTTAGCGAGGTTAATGAAGGACATATAAAAGGTCCTGAGGTTGTTTCTGACACTTTTCTTGGCCCTGGTGGGCAACAGAGACCTGATGGCCCATGGGATGGTCTGACCGCAGATCTTCCTGAGCACGAGGTAGAAGATGGTGCAGGAAGACGCGGTGGAAAGGAGGGTGATACCTCAATAGTGCTCACACAGACACATCATAGGTTTCATAGACATAGACATTAGGGCTGGAAGGGACCTCGGAAGATCATCGAGTCCAGCCCCCCGCCCAAAGGGCAGGAAGTCAGCTGGGGTCATAGGATCCCAGCAAGATGAGCATCCAGTTTGCTCTTGACATCGCCTTTCTTGAAGACAGTCACTATGCTGGCATCCTCAGGTCTCCAGGATCTCTTTGTTGGTCCAAATTCATAGAATAAATTTGTTGCGTCTCAGTACCGGCCCCTCGCTGCCAGCCTTGCAGATGCCAACAGCTATGACATTCGTCCAGTAGCCTGGTTCTCGGTCTCCTGGACGGCACGCCGTACTTCTTCTAGGACAGGAGGGCTGGTGAAGAACCCCTTTTCAGGGTGCTGAGGGATGGACTCAGCGGTAGCATCTGCCACGAACGATTCACGGCTCAGGGGTGCCTCAAAGTGCTCTTTCATCTACCCCGGAGAGATTCGTGTTCCTTGAGAAGCGCCGAGCCAACCTGTGATCACAGGAAAGTAGGCCTGCAGATGGCTTTCATTGCCTGGAAAAGGCCACGCACGTCAAGTTTGTAAGCAGAGAGCTCCATCTCTTTGACTTTCTCTTGCCACCACTGATTTGGGATCTCCCAGATCCTCCATTGAGTTGGCCTTTGAGGAACGGACATGTCTCCTCCTTCCGCTGAGATGAGATGACATCTTGCCCAGGAGAATGATCCCTTTTCCTCCAGTCGGGGAGTGCTTGGATCTTGGTGTCAGTCTCATCGAACCAATCCTGGTGTTGATGGGTAGCGCAGCGAATGGGTTCAGCACAGGCCACGTGAACGGCAGTGTAAAACCCCTTCCTCAACGTCGCCTTCATTTGTGGACAGGGCAGAGAGCTTCACATGGAGACACTGCTGGAGACCCTTACAGACCTTCAGGTCTTGATGAGTTTTTCAGCATTTCAGAGCAAGCTGGACGTTCGATAGCGGGTCTGCCAAGGTGGGCATCGTCCAGCAGTTACCGGTTCCTCGCATGGCACGTGTGATACGGACATCCGTTCCGTCGCGCGCTCTAACAACAACACAGTCGAGGAGGTGCCACGTGAGGGTGTATCCTTGTGCTCCTGTATTCGTCACTGTCTGAAGGCGGTGTTCGTGATGACAAGACATGCTCCAGGAGAAGGATGCTGTTGGAGCTGGCTTTTCCTACTCCTTCCTTCCCAAGGGTGCCACTCCGGGGTGCCAGGTCACAGCCGACTCAGGTGCTGAAGTCAACGAGGAGAATGACCTTGTCCCCCTTGCCAGGTTTCGTCCAAATGTAGTCAAGGTTGGAGTAAACTGTTCTTTGCCACCATCATCAGTGTCAAGCGTTGAGGCACATGCACTGACGACTGGTTGTTGCTGAGCTTAAGATGAAGGGTCAGACGGTGTTCGTTAATGCCCGCGGGGAGCTCCATACGGTCACTGATAAGCTGACTCTCGACGGAGACGCTGGTGCTGTGAATGCACCTGCCCTGGGCTGGTTTCCCCTTCCAGAAAAAAGACGTAGCCTCCACCCTCTTCCCTCCGCTCACCCTCATCCGGTCGTCTCGTCTCGCACAGAGC